CGCAGACATAGACATCAAACGGCAAAACCTATTCAGTTGCCAGTTACTTTGGCAATAGGACAGGGATATCTAGATACTTCCCAATGTTTGACATAATGAATTGTGCTACTTTTAAAGCACGCAATGATGTTTTCAAATCTGTAATCAAAAAGCTCCTCAAAAAACGCTATCGAAGCAGTTCCCGCCATTGCTACGTTAGTTCAAACGGTAACAACGGACTATTTTTCTTAGCGGATGCATGTCATTTTAAATCAATAAAAACATGTTCAAAATCTATAAAAGCATTTCAATTAATATTGGGAGTCATGTCGTGACTTTGTTGAGAATGTGGCCGTGTAATAAGCGGGATAATGTGCAGCGACTTGGTCATTATGGTGATCAAGATCCGCTTGGCATCAGGATCCTGATCAGCCTGTCGGGTGTTCTTTTACCCATAATGACCCACATTATCCCTTACGTAGTGCAGTTTACAAATTCCCTGGTACACACTTGTCTTTTGTGAGCTGAACTCTCTCCCATGTTCATTACTCATGCTATTTGGAGCAGCAATAAATAATAGTTGGTGCAGTCTGGGGTGCAAGGACCATACAAACAACCTAACAAACAGAGACTGGTAAACAGAAGGAATAATGCACCGAAAACAACCGGAAAGCCGTGTTAAACTCGCTTCAACTCACAAGATAATCTGGCATATGGAAGCAAACATTGGTTTATTGATTCCTCGCTTTGAGATAAAATAAGACGGACCTTTATTAATCCCTGTGGGGAAATTCAGTAAATGACTGAAGTGCTAGGAGACTTTGAGAGGAAATAAGGACTGTTTTTCCTCCACTCCAATTTCACTAATAAAGTCCAATTCGAGCAGTGTTTTTCGTTAAAGTCACAAAGACGTACTTAGCCCCTCTCCCACCTCTTCTTCTTCCCTGAGGCTCAAAACCAAATCGAGCCCTGACAGACGGCTCTGCAACAAGTTGATTAAAATCCCAACTGTGTTTCCTCTCTTTGCAAATCCACTGATGAGGCCGTCCTTTCCAAAGCCTGATAGGAGCCAGGCTTCTCTGCCGAAAGCGGAATAAAAATAACTAATTGCGTTTATTTTTGACTGAAATTGCAATCAAGGCATGAAATTAAAAAGGGAATGATAATTTTTCAACATTATTCACACTATAAATGTATGGCAATTATCATGGTGTGATTTTTTTAAGAGGACCTGTACCAAACAATGATTTGTTACTAAGACGGTGTGTAGGTTTGGACTTCTCTGCAGCACAACAATACAGGGATTTGGAAATAAAACTATAGCAGATGTATTTAAAGTTAATTTTATAGTGTGTGTCTTAATTAGGGCTGAACGATTAATCGATTTTAAATCGAAATCGCGATATGAAATAATACGATTATCAATTTATTTATTTTTCTTCTTGTGTGTCAGTCATCCACACCAATCAGAAGTGCTGTGCTCCACATGTACCAGCCATTGTTAACCAATCAGAAGTGGCCCATGATAGAAGGTGATAGACAGATTGATCCAATCACCTGCCCAGTATTTTTGAAAGTGCCTGCCCTTTCCAAATGGCTTCCAATGGATCTTTCCTAGATGGTTTGGTGAAACAAACCGTCTGAGTCAGGTTAGTAATGCTCCATCACATGTTTCTATTACAGAGTGAATAAACTGAAGCTTGACTTTAAAGAAACCCAACGGAAGTTTCATGTAAGTTTAGTTCTTTCACTCGTAGCTCGGGCTGCGGGGGTGCTAGAGACGGGAGCACGTTGATACGACCTTCCTAGCCGAGATATGGCCGCAATTTATAATGAACTTCCGTTGGGTCGCTTAAAAACGCAATATTTGTCAGAAAAATTGCAATTAGATTTTTTTCTCAAAATCGTGCAGCCCTAGTCTTAAACTTACATTACTTTGTAAAGGACAATAATGAATTGCCTTGTGTTGAAACATGCTTCATTAATAAACTTGCCATGCCTTGTAGGGAATCATCCACGTGGGGCTGTTGGCATTAGACGTCAAACAACATGCTATAGTATGAAATAGAAGAAAAAGAAATAGCTAATTTTAGAAGTAAAATTGACTTGCAAAAGAATAGGAAACGTTCTTTTCCTCACCAAAGCTGGAGGGATTTAAAATATGTAATACATAAGTGAAGACCTCTGGCAATTTGCAAAGAGAAAATATCTTCCGGACCACCTTGAAGAGAAACATTTCCTATAAAAAAATCCCCTCCAGGTTATGAAAAAATGCCATGGGCTAGAAACAGGATAAGTAATTCTCTGCACACTCTCTTTGCAAAGCATGACGAGAATGACAAATCACACTGCAGCACTTCGATCAGTACATCTCCCTGAAAATGTACAAAAAACATCAAGTCATTAGTTTTATCCGATGCATTGCTGTCCGCCACATATTACAGCTCATTTTTCAGAATTCATACTTTCCCCATCATTAGAGAGATTTTAGGATGAATAGAGCCCAAGACATCAATCATCATCTTTTATGATGACGGCTTATTCACTGCCCGCCTAAGACTGTCTGTCTGTCTCAGCTTTAACGCTCAATCTGAGATATGATCCAGATTAAATGAGGACACACAAACACACATGCGGGAGGCCCGTGGAACTTTAATCATTAAGAAATCTAATGGATGTGTGCCTTTAAAGGGCCCCTTTTATGCTTCATGGGAGTTCCACTTAACTTGACTGTTATTTCCTATTGATTGTTGTGTTTTTTTATCTTAATGTGTGCATATGTGTAAATGTGTCTGTTGATTGTGTATATAGGATGTACATATTTTATACATATATCGTATAATTTTAAATTCGGAATTGTTGGAAACGTCATTTCTCTCTCAAACTGAGTAAGATTGACATTAAAGTTGACTTCGACACTTTCCTGTAGTGTGATATATAGGTTTGTGT